TCGTAGGTATACGGAATAAAAAATCACTTAAGCACTGCATATAATTCGCAAAAGAAATATTCGAGACGCTAATTACTGCTGTAGACGCGGAAACACCGACGAGTCGTAAATTACATGCGATCAAATATGTAATAAATAAAAAAATTGTAATAACATCACCCTTTCAAGTTAAGTTTCGAATATAAACTGAACCGATGAGGCACGTAGCCAAAGCCGGCATCTTTATACCCATTGTATTATTAAAAATCTGGGGAATTCCATCCTAATTATCTTGCAACGAATAGTACCTTCGGATATGAATTCCAGATTTTCTAGTAAAGTGATTAAACGAGAAGATTAGTATTGAAATATCCAAAGAGATAAGGTATTCTTATTTACAAAATTGTTAATGGTTAAATTCTTATTTTTATTAATATAATATAATAACCAACATAGCCGTGAAAGTTTTAATTGTTTTTTGCTAAATGTATTAGTATTAAAACATTATTAATATTGATAATGAATAAACACCTCAGGAACGCCTATGATGATACAAATTTTACGACCGTTTTGACTTTGAGGCACATTTCGTGCTGTGAACAATTTGTGAACGGAATATATCTATCCAGTTTAAACCAATATTGCAATTAATTTAATGGTAATGTTTTAAAGGAGAGTGTAATGTTGGGACTAGGATTGACAACCGAATGAAACTGTTTTTACTACTTTAAACCCACCGTGCATATCGTATTGTTTACTTTTATTTTTGATATATTCTTCTGCAAAGTATCTTTGTCTCTAATTATGTCCAATCTACTAAGTATCAATTTCGGAACGTAAACATTAAAAAGTTGACTGATTGATAGTCTTTAAATTTAATTCTGAATATATTTTTACTGATCTTATAGTTCAGTATCGAAATCTAAGGGAGTGGTTTGGTCTGAGCTCTAGCCAACTATTTAGAGCTGCTGTAAGTAAAGTAAGAATTGCCATGTTGATATCCAACCTTCGTTAGAAGATGGAACCTTAAGAAGAAGAGGATCTTATAGTAATTTTGTTATATAAATTCGCTAAACTATAGAAAGTGTAATATCAGTATTATTGTTAATATCAGTAGAGTATTATTGTCCATATATACATAAAAATTACCTATATCACTGCTCTTTTATATGAAATAATGTTCTCTTAAATTGTCTGTAAAATTATCAAAAGATTTATTATTTACCCGTTCTCTGTTATTTTTAGATTTACCGTCCCATTTGATTCTAGTTTTTCTATATTAATATCTATCCGGCTAATATCTGAAGGCCTCACACATGGCTCGTTATTGTTTCTGGATTAGGGTCTTTAGTCGGACTTATAATTGGGCTACAAGTGGAGTATGATCAGAATTTATATCAGCTCTAGGATATGTTTTGGCTGTTATTAATGCGTTGCGGAATCGTTTTTGTGTTCTAAAATCTATCATTTCTAACGGTGTGCTCAGATTTGTCCTGTGGTGACTTCCAACTCTACTTCTTCTTAGCGTGCCATATCAGAATTATCCGACGTTGGCGATCACCATTGCGAAGGCTTCTCGATCTTCTGCAATATGGAATAATTGTCCTGCATTTGGCCTGAGTCCATTTACGAATGTTTTTTAACCAAGAAACTTGTTTTCTTCCTATACCTCTACGGCCCTCTATTTTGCCTTTAAGGATCAGTTGTAAAATTTTATATCGACTTCCCCTTACTATATATCCCAGATAAGACATTTTTCGATGTTTAACAGTCTTTAGCAGTTCTCTGTCTTTGTTGACGCTCCTTAGTACTTCTTCATTAGTTTTCAGCTGTCCAAGGTATCTTCAGCATTCGTCTATGAACCCACATTTCCAATGCTTCAATTTTGTTCAAACATAGCACTTAACCATTATTTGCCTTAGTTCTAAACTGAGATGGTTATTGCAAAGAAATGACTTCATTTACATAAAAGTAGTTTTAGTCATTGCTATTCTACGTTTTATTTCTATGTCTGGATCTAGTTGGTCCGTTATCACAGTTCCCAAGTATGTCATTTTGTGAACTTTCTCAACTTGGACTCCGTTCAATTGAAGCTTTGCATCGGGATGTGGGTTACGACTAAACACTAAAAATTTGGTTTTGTTTGAGTTTATTTTAAGGCCCATTTCCTCTCCTACCTCGTGAATACGATCAAGCAGAATTTGAAGACCTTCAATATTATCTGATAGAATTACTGTATCGTCTGCATATCTAATCACATTAAGTAGTTCCCCGTTGATTTTTATTCCATATGGTTGTCTCTCAAGTGCCTTTTTAAATAGCTGGTCCGAGTAAACATTGAACAATGTTGGCGACAAAATGCAACCTTGTCTGACTCCTCCTTGTATGGGAATTTCATCGGTGTAGTTATCTCCAATTTTTACTATAGTAGTTTGATTCCAGTACAATTTTTTAATGACACGAATATCCTTGTTATCCATTCCGATATTTTTCAGTATTGCATTAATTTTACATGCTGTACTTTATCGAAGTCCACAAAACATGCAAAAACATCTTTTCTTTGGTCACGGCATTTTTGTAATAGGATGTTAAGCGCAAAAAGTGCCTCCCTGGTTCCCATAACATTTCTAAAACCAAATTGGGTATCTTCAAGATCTTCGCATTTGCGCCTAATTCTGTTGTGAAGTATTTTGAGGAAAATTTTAAGAGTGTGTCTTACTACTACTTTTATGTTATCATTCTCTATTAGTTTCAGCAACTCAGTTGGTCTATCATCTGGACCACAAGCTTTTCTAATTTTAGCATTATTTATAGCATGTTCTACTTCGCATTTCATAATTTCTGGGCCGTCAGTACAGTTTTGGTAGAATTCGACAATATTATTCCTGTCATCTTCAAACAACTCTGATATATACAGCTGTCATTCTTTTCTTATTTCTTGCTCATTTACAATAATTTTGTTATTAGTGTCAACAAGTACAGAGGGAACTCGTTTTTAAATTTATTACTCATTTCTTTCAGTTTTTTGTGCACATTAAATAAGTCGTGTTTAGATATTACATCTCCATTTCGTCGCACCTTTCTCTCATCCATTTTTCTTTGGCTAATTTGATCTCCTTTTTTATTCTTCTCTGCAGGTGTCTATATTCCGTTACATGAGATTTTATCAGTCGACGTTGTTCCATTAATTTCAAGATGTCGTCTGTCATCCAGTTATTTTTCTTAATTAGGTTTTTTCTATAATCATTGTTTGTGGAGATTTCGTTAACTTGGTTTTTAAATTCACTCCATAGTTCTTCTGGATCATCTAATTGTCCCCCGATGTTTTTTATTCTATTATTAAATTCTTTTTTAATGTTATGTATTTTTATATCGTCAAAGTTAAGTACATTGGTTTTTGTCGCTGAATTCGTTTTAACCTTCTTAGTTTAATATCTGCTACGAGTGGTTCATGACCAGATCCAATATCAGCCCCAGGATATGCAGTCACTTTTTTGACGGCATTTCGGAAACGCTCATTTACAAGTGCATAGTCTATTTGATTTCTTGAAGACTCAGGGTTATTGCCATCATCAAATGGGGCTTTCCAAGTGTATAGTCGTCGCTTGGCTAGTTTATATCAGGTGTTTGCAATGATCATACCAGATTGTATGATTTCTTTACAGAATTCATACAATCTCTGTCCTCGATCGTTAGGTTGTCCTAAACTATAAGTACCTACAGTCTGACCTCGTCGACCTTCCCCAATTTTTGCATTGAAGTCGCCTATAATATATAAAATTTCGTGTTTATTAAGTTTCCGTAAGATGTCTTGGATCTGATCATACTCGATCTTTATCTTTTTATCATTACAACTTCTCGACTTCATCGCCATATTTTCTATCTGCAGTCGAGGCATAGATTTGAAGTATGTTAGTTTTAAATGGTTGAGTATTTATTTGGAGTAATATTATTCTATCCGAGATTGGTACGAAATTGGTCACATATTTACTCAGTTCTGATGTTACCTACACCATTTTTGTGATGCGGGTCTTCTGTGCTGTTACCGGAATAATATAATACACATCCGTCCTTTGTAAATGATCCTGACTCTGGCCATCTCATTTCGCTAATTCCCAGCAGTTCTATTTTCATTCGTTTCATTTCTTGAATTACGTTGTCAAGTTTCCTAGCCGCAAATAGACTTCTAACATTCCATGTGCACATTCTAAAATTAGATTTCTTTATTTTTAGGACTTGTGCAAGTCCAAGTCTACAGCCTTCTTAATGGTTACTTAAACCAAGTATTGATAATAATTAAGTTTTTCTCCGGGCCATTCTTTTTATTAAGGTTCATTAAGACCTTTTCTCAGATCAGACATAATTGTACTTAGTTCTTCCGTATTAGGTGCTAGCAGTGGTATATAATCAGTGAACCCAAGGTAATCACCATCATCATGGCTCCTGGCCTTCTTCAGGATCCTCCCATTTGTCTCTATCAAATGCCTTTCTTCTCGATACTCTAATGCCAACTGTGGGTTGTGGGACATAGATATTATGGTGGGGTTTCCAGGGTTCATTCGTAACACGTGTTATGCGGTCTATCTTTACTATTTTTACTACAATACTTTACGCTTGAATTATCCTAGCAATTCCTCAGTATACTTTGTCATTGTCTAGGTTTCAGAGCAATACGTTACTACCGGGCGAACCAGAGTGTTAATTTACATGTTGTTTGCCTGGACTGAATTCTTGATTATTCTTTAAGTTAAGGTAGTAGACCATAATAGTATCTATTTGTCAGATAAAGGAAATCACACTTTATTTGAGCTTGTTCCATTTGCAGCTCTCTATTATGTATTGTATGCATCGTCCTCATATATTTATGATTTGGTATTCCCAGTTCCTGCATTGTTTCAAAATTTTTTTTTTATTTATTGTGTCATAAGCAGCCTTTAATTCCACAAACGAAACCAAGGGGTTTCATTGAAACCTTCATTTAATTGAAAAAATATTACAACATCAAAATGAAACAAACTATTGCATATTTTTTTAAGGATTTATTATAAATAATCCAAAATGTAACTTAGAGATTTATAAGTGATAGCACCAACATATAAAACGGAAACTTAACTACAGTAATTCCGACTACTGTACTTTGGAATAAAATTTTTTGAAGGTACTTGTTATTTGGTTACTTTACATTAAATGGTAAATATGAAGCTACATTTCTGGGACACAACACAACATCAATAATATTACTAGTAAATCGGGAGTAGTATAGTATTTATAAAATCAGTTAAAACACACAAAAAACTGGTTGCCGACAAACATTAAAACAATAATATCATATTACCAGACATGGGCGCATCAAATTTTTATAATCAAATATAGATTAATGAAGAACAGAAAAAGGACAATTTTAATTTACTTAAAGCTGTCGTACAAGTACAAGTATTTAACATGTCATAATTAGTAACAAAAATAATTTATAATTAAATGACAATAGGCCATATTGACAGTATAATGATTTCATTTTATTCGGATCTACTCTGTACGAGTACAAGAAACCAATTCGCTAAGGATTTCTGTTTAGTTGAAGAGACATGTCGTGGAATGCAAATTTTAGATTCCCCATCCCTCTTTTAACATCTTTATCAAGGTCTGTAATACCTTGCAATTTTAGAAGGTTCAGATAAAGCAGAAATCTGAATTGTGTTTCGAAACTATTTTACGGATTTATTATCAGATGTCGCTATTGCGTCCATATCGAAGCCATTTTAGTGTTGCTTCTTAAAAGACAGAAAATATTGATTTTTCACGTTGAGAACGCCTATGGATAACTGTTCTGATGAGACCTATTAGATATATAGTGTAATATGATATCATAAACATTTTAGCTGTACAGCACTGTACAACTGTGTGTTAAATATTGGTGATTTTAAATAACATATAAATGTCCAATATTTATTTTATGGGGTGTATTTTTCATTCGCTCTTTCTTCCATCTATTTCCTACGAAGTACGGGGATTGTTGAAATACGTTTGAAACATTGACGCGTGTTATTTATACTTTAACTTGATTACCGGTAAATGTAATATTGAACTGCCCTTATAAAGCGAGTCGGAGAGAAAAGTTTCAACTGACTTTATAAATACTATAAAACAATATCTTTATTTTATTGATAAATTTTGAATTGAATAAATATGAAAAATTATATACATACTTATTTTGCCATAATTAGTAGTTTAACATTCACTTTAAATTAATAATAATATATAGAGCCATCGAGAACAAAACATAATTAGAGGTTTGTGCAACAAAATACAGCGGGATTAAGATTTTATCTATTTCCACAGAATAATATATACAAATTCCAATGACAAATCATAAATCTCATGTACATAAAATTTATGATTTACTAAATGACTGATCTGCCAATCAGCGTCATTAAATATGCGTATAATTAAATAATTTTTTTCTCGCATAACCTTTGAAGTTTGTCGGTCATATCCCAAACTTTTGAGATTTTCGACATATAGGTACATCTATAATGTAGGTAAAATGAAACAAAAAATAACCAATTAATATGTTTTTAAATGTATGGAATGAAATCATTTTAAACATCAGTATTAATCACTATACTGCTAAAATATTGTCACTATAATCTGAAAAATGTATTATTCATTGCGTAGTTCTTTCATCAGTAATTTACTACAATTATAAAACTCTGTTAAAACAAAAGTTGATGCAATTTTTAAAATTATCTCCTCATATAATTGAAGACACAAGTGGATAAAGGTGTCATGTAACAATTTTTGAAAAACAGAAATAAATCAGAAACAGCGCAAGAAAGTTCCAGTGAATAAACTTTAAACTCATTTTTCTGGAAATAATGATTTTAGTACATGACACCTTTATCCGCTTGTGTCTTCGATTACTAATATAAAATTTGATATAACACTTGAATGTCCCAGAATATTTGTTTTTAAATAAAAACTAATCTAAATTGCATTGTTAAAATATTTTCTAATGATTTACTATAAAAATATAGAAGTTAATTATACTTAAAAGTTAACTACCAACCACCTTAAATATGTACATAAAATAAAAGGGTTCGGATTTTGGGCAAGAAAGGTTTCGTTCAGAAAAGGAAAACACTTTTATGGTCCGCCACAATTTAAGGAACGAATTCTACCCGACGAATCGGTATTTGAAATTCATCTAACAGATATGAGTAGGTTTATAGAAGCTACAAATTTAAATTCATAAAGTACACTGCTGTGTAAATTAAACATATTTGGTTTTTTAGCAGTTGGCAACACATGACAAAGTAGTGACAAGTTCTGAGAGTCAGTAAGTAATGACACATACGAGACGTGTTGCCTTTTTGTTGTTTTTTTAGGCACAAGATTGTTATATGTACCTTGAGCGAAGACACAGTAATTACTCAACTATATATTGCTAAAGAGCATGGCTGTAAGTTTGGTAGCCGTTAACTTCTTCTTCTTCTTAACGTGCCCTATCAAGTCCCCTTGACGTTGGCGATTAACATGACGAAACTGTCTCTGTCTCGAGCTATTCTAAAGAGTTGCTCAGCTTTCTTTATTCCTGTCCACTCCCTGATATTCTTCAACCAAGAGCCTGCTTTCTACCAATTCCTCTGCGTCCTTCGATTTTACCCATCATAATAAGTTGAAGAATATTATATCGGTCTCCCCTTACTACGTGTCCAAAATAGGCCATCTTTCTACATTTGATGTTATCAAGCAGAAAGCGAGCAGCATTTGCTCTCTCAATGACTGCCACATTTGTCAGCATAGCTGTCCATGGAATTTTTAGTATACGTCTGTGCAGCCACATTTCAAAAGCCTCCAGACGATTAATGGTGGATATTTTTAATGTCCATGCTTCGACACCGTATAAGAGGACTGACCAAATATAGCATTTAACCACGCGTTTTCGAAGTTGAAGTTGCAACCTTGATCTGGATCTAGTTGTTCAGTAATATGGCAACCAAGATAATTAAAACTGGACACTCTTTGAATTATATGATCATCAACATATAATCGTGCATATTGATGTGCTAAACGGTTAAACACCATGTGTTTTGTTTTTGAACAGTTTATGTTTAGGCCAAACTCTCTCAAACTCAAAGCCGTTAACACGATTTTCAAAAAAAGACAGTGGGAAATGGGAGAAAAAAAGAGATAGGGGAGGAAAACAGAAAAGAGAAGATGGCAATACGGAATGGAATGCGTTTTTAACAAGAGAAAGTAAATTCAACAAAATATCAGCACTTAGCACACGCTGGAGTAAAAAGATATCTGAGTTGGTTAAGACTGTTAAAAATTTAAGAAAAACTTTTGTTCTCAGATGAATGCCATTTTTTGTTAAAAGAACGATTATGTTTTCTTAGAGTGACAATTAAAAACTCAATGACAGTTGATCTAGATCGAACAGTCGTGGCTTGGGAATTAAACTAATAAAAGTGCATAACATTTTTTAAAAAGATTCTGCTCCATGAATATTATTCAAAATCATGATTAAACATTTCAAGGTACAGTAACATATCAGCTTTGAATGACCAGAAACCTCACCGGATATTAATCCGATTTAAAATCTGTGTAAAATAGATTGCACAACTAATGAAGCTGTAACCCAGACATTGTTTCGAAACCAGCAAATATTAGATCACTGTAAAAACTTATTGACTCTCTAGCAAATATCGTCCAAGAAGTTATAAAAGCAAAGAGTATTATTTTTATATAATTTTAAAAACATTAAAAAAATCTGTTTGTTGAAAGATTACCATATACGATTCGTTTGTAATTTCTACCACCTAATTACACCTGTCCAACGAATTTTAAATATAATGCTTTGCATGTTGAATGGGCTCCGTTTAGCAAGGCGATCCATATATTTACAGAAATATAAAAATGTGTACTTCTCAAGAAGAATTATATATTAGTATTATATATTATCTATTTTCCCATAAATACTAATCATTTTTTTTTAAATATAGCATACTTCAAATAATCTGATAAAAATAACTCTCAACTACCTTATCAATGTCATTTATTAGAACTGTGTATAATAAGAGCTGTCAAAAATGTATCTATTTTAACGTTGAAAGATTTACTCTATATTTTTAAAGAAAGACGTCACTAAATCCAATTCTGCTATTGCAGAAAGACAAAAATTCAGTTCAATACCACTTGAAAAGATTAGTAGTTGTACCTGAGTACTTAAAATAAAATACTAATTATTTAGTTTTTTTATTGCTTCATGTTAACTATGTCAACTCAATTCTGACTCAGATAAATAGAAAATAGTTTGAATTTAGAAATAGAACTTACACACTACATATACGAATTTACAAGTACTGTGAGTTTCAGATGAGTGACACTCAATAAGAATTTCGAAACGGATTGGGAACACGAGAAGCTCTTTTTTTCTTAAATGTGTTAACACAACGATACAGAGACACGAATGTAAATGTATATGCATGTTTTATTGATTATACATAGAAAACAATTTGACTGTGTTAACCATCCAAAGATGATCGAAATTCTGAGAACAACTGGACGAACAACACTTACGAATTATCTCAGAACTGTACTGGCACCAAACGGCAACAATTGAAATAGAGCACACAACATTCGACGATATACGAATCCGACAAAGTTGCGTCTTGTCACCGCTATTATTTAATCCGTCTTCGGAATCTATATTTATAAAAGCATTAGGCGAGGTCCAAGGTGGAATCAAGATTAACGGAACCAGCATAGACGACATCGGGTACGCTGATGATACCGTCCTAATAGCAAGCGAAATGTTCTGTTTACATCTCAACATTTCCAAAACTAAAATTCTAGTATTTTCAAAGATACCAACAAATGTGCATTTGTATACCAAGACATAAATAATAGAACAGGTAACTTCCATAAAATATTTGGGAGCAAACATTAACAGCCAGTTTAACCTAAAAAAGAAATCGTATCAAGAATTGAAGAAGCGAGGAAAACGCTAATGAACATAAAAACATTTTTTACAAGATAGTATAGTATAGTATAATAGAAGCTTAGTCTAAGCTCAGAATTCGAATGATCAGATTACGTTTTCTCTGTTTTGCTGTACGGCTGTGAAAGTTGGACAATGGACTCTGAAACAGAAAAAAGAATAGATGCCTTTGAAATGTATATACACAGACTGAGATATGAAGATGCTGAGATATGAAGATATGAATTACTCCAAATCATATTGGAAGGTAAAGTGCAGGATAAAAGATCTGGTGGAAGACTCCAGAACTCGTGGTTGAAAGACCTGAGGAGATGGTTTGACAGCTCACCTACAGAAATCTTTCATGGAGCAGTTTTGAAAGCTACATTTGCCATTTGGATCGCCAACCTTTGAAAGGTGCAATAAGAAGAAGAATAGATCTAACAGATTACTATATGTTTTAAGAAACAAAAGTTTCTGGTGCATTAAAGAATTGCATCTCTTAAATTGTATATTAATCTGTTTAATTCGTATGATTTTACAAAGTCTAAAGGCACTTCGCGAAACAGCTGTAATGATAATAAATTATAAATAAATTTTGTGGCAGTGTTGAAAACAGAAAGTGTTATATTGTTAGATAAAGTCTGGAATGAAATAAACAACATCGTATTAGGAGACTTTAACGCAAAAATTGAGAAAGGAGCAGTAGATCGCGTAGTTGGAAAATATGGTCTTGGTCAGATAAACGAGAGAGGGGACAGATTGATACAGTACTGCCAAGATAAAGATCTAGTCATAACGAATACTTGGTATAAGTTACCACCCAGGAAGCTTTACACATGGAAGTCGCCTTTAGACGGACATCAGTGCATTATAAGGAACCAAATAGATTATGTGACAATTAATAGAAGGTACAGGCATGCTATTACTAAGGTATCTGCATTACCTGGAGTAGACTTAGGATCCGACCACAATCCCTTAGTCGCAAATATCAAACTGAGGCTCGCTACAGCTAAAAGAAAACACCAGAAGGCATCAGTAAACATCAGAAAACTCAAAAACAATGAAACAAGTAAAGAGTACACAGAGGAAATAAACAATAGATTCTCTAATAGGGCAACTAAGGATGATGTTGAAAAGTCATGGACCACCATAAAAGAATCATTTGATGAGGTGAACAACACTTTTCTACTCGAGAGTAAAACAACTACCAAGAATGAGTGGATGACAGAAGAAATATTAGAGATGATGGAACAACGCAGGCAGTGTAAGATTAGGCAGGACCAAGTAGGGTACCGAAATATTCACAGTCAAATTCGTAAAGAAATTATAGCGGCGAAGGAAATCTGGATGACTACACTTTGCACAGAGGCTGAAAACCTATATAAACTCGGCGACAGCTTCAATCTTTACAAGAAAATTAAGGAAATTGCTGGTGTCTTCAAGAAAAAACAAGTCAGTGGTATACATAATGACCAAAATGAACTAATAACGGACCCTAGCGATATGCTTAATACTTGGAAAATTACATAGCCAATTTGTTCAATGATGACAGAACACAAAAACCACCACAACTGGGAGACAATTTGTATGGCCCAAGTATTTTGAAAGATGAAATTGTACACGCTATCAAACTATTAAAAAGTAACAAAACCCCAGGACCAGATGATATGTACGCAGAAACAATCAAGTTACTTAATGAAGAAAACCTAGACATTATTGTCAAGCTCTTTAACGACATCTACGATACGGGCCAGATTCCAAAATATTGGCTTCGATCTACATTTATCGCCCTACCAAAAACACCACGTGTGAACTTCTGCAAGGACCACCGACTAATAAGCATAATGAGTCACTTTTTAAAACTGTTCGTGAGAATACTTCACACTAGATTGTTTAAGAAATGTGAAGAGGTAAGTGGATGGAGTCAGTTTGGTTTCAAAAATGGACTTGGCACGAGAGAAGCGATCTTTAGTATGCAAACATTAATACAGAATTGTTTAGATCAAAGAAAGTATGTTTTTGTCTGTTTCATCGATTACGAGAAAGCATTCGATAATGTAAAACACGAATTGATGATAAAATACCTACAAGAGTTGGGATTGGATGCCAAGAATATAAGAATTATCGCCAATCTGTATTGGAACCAGACAGCAACAGTACGTCTTCAAAATTTCAACGAAACAGAAGATTTCTCCATTAAAAAAGGAGTAAGGCAAGGTTGTATGTATACTGTCTCCAATGCTGTTCAATTTATACGTAGAAAAAGCCTTCGCAGAAGCAGTGGCAAACTCTAATAAGGGTATTAAAGTTAACGGCATATTTATTAATAATATCAGGTATGCCGATGATACAGCCATAGTGGCAGATAACATCGAAGATCTTCAATGCCTTTTAAATGATATAACTCTTGCAAGTGAAGCTCGGGGTTTGAAAATAAATATCAAGAAGACAAAAACAATGATTATAAGTCGAAATGATTACCCGAACGCAAAGATATATGTCTCTGGAGAAGAAATCGAAGAGGTCACGCAATTCAAATATTTGGGTTGTTTGCTGAACGAGTGTTGGGACCCCGATAATGAAATAAAGAGCAGAGTTGATCAAGCCAGAAATGCTTTTTTGAGGCTTCTTAAGTTTCTGACTGATCGCAAATTGGACTTCAACCTCCGATACAAGATGCTGAAGTGTTACGTGTGGCCTGTTCTCCTGTACGGAATGGAAGCATGGACGTTAAAGGCCAGTTCCCTTAACAAATTTGATGGACGGACAGGGTCAGAAATGAGGAAGTACTCAGAAGAGTAGGCTTACAGGATAGGGAATTTTTTAATTATGTAAAATGTAAGAAGACTGCATACTTGGGGCACATATTACGAGGAGAAAGATACACTTTTCAGCAACTGATACTCGAAGGGAAGATAGAGGGTAGGAGAGGTCTGGGACGTAAAAAAAGTCATGGCTGCGCAATATTCGACAATGGACAGGAATCCACAGCTATGAAATGCTTCGCAATTCTGCTAAAAACAGAATTATTTAATCCTGAATATTTAACATCTCACCTGACAAGACGATGTACGGTGGACGCCTACGCATAAATGCACGGCACCTTAAGAAGAAGAAGAACCATTATTTATTCGAAAAATTTAGATATGTGTCAAAAGATACTTCAAAGATCAGTACTCCCAGAATAGATTAATAATAGAATTTTTATGAAAACTTTACGTCAATTGCAGAATCTATAGCGGAAATAAATAAATCACATAAAAAAGGAAATCAGATAAAATAAAAGCCACGAAAAAGTAAAATAAAGTAAAAGCAAACAAAACGAATATAAATAAAAGTCATATAAATCTTTCTTCCACTCACTTCATCAAATATAAATATGTCTGAAGTAGGGCTAACTATCTGTCTCTCACATTACAATACAGATACTCTATCTTTTAATTTAACAATAATACTGATAGTATACGAAATTCAATAGCGGCAAATAAGTGTACCACCCTATACAACTAGAATTAAAAACACTGCTAATGTGCCTACCATTTTTGGTTCACTGAAGAACAAGAAAGGGTTATCGTTTAAAGGAGATCACAACATGAGGTTTTATTAAATAATAATCCAAAATTGTTTCGATTTAGTGATAAGGCAAGAGATTAAATAAATTCAGATCTTGTTGGCAATGTTAAAAAATATCACAGTTAATCAAAGATTAATTTGAAGCAGCTTAAAGATGTAGAAACTATGTACTATGTTACATCACAGCCTATGAAAGTCATAAGCATCACGAATCATTCTTCATATAGGTACATTTCCAACCCTCGATTCAAAGACTATTGTCGCTTCCAAAAATAATTAAATATTGATATTATTAATAGGTGGAGTTATTTCCTTAAACAAAGCGTTACACATAATTTATCTGTTTGAACAATAATGAATAACTAAAATGTTCACAGCAGGAATCAATTTTTTATCGCTTCTGAAATTTTTTAATTGGTCATCGGATTTAACAGTAGTCGGTTTTTAAATTAATTATAACATAAACAATTTTTATAATGTGTTGGTATGAATATGTACCTTGATAAATATGTCTAGACAAGCAGTAGTAGGCATTGTTTTGAACTGTATATATATATATCTTGAATTTCACTTTTGATTGCTATTTTTGATTTCTAATTCTTTATAAAATATGTTAGCTAAACCTAACAAATAAATCTTACATTATCTAAGAATAAAACAATGTATTTTTATCTAAACATATAAAGGAATATCGGTGTCAAATCAATTAAACTGTATAGGGAAACATTATTCCAAAAGTAATCAACAGAAAACTGCAATACGTTTTGTTTTATACAGTTATCAGAATATTAAGGTATACGCATGCCTCTATTGGTCGAAAAGGCCAAACAGGTAATTTGTGGATTTAAATTTGAAATTGAAAAATTTTTACCCAAGCAAAAACAATTTTAACAAATTCGTGATGCTTAATAACTAAAAACGGATTCATATTTAATACAAGAAAAGACCTTAGAAAAATAAAAATTTTACAGCCGTCTTTCATCAACTTCATTCCAACATTTTATGTTTATTTTTATTGAAATACACTGTGCAAATAGTAATATTAAAATTGTAAAAGAGGTAAAACTTCGATCTTTCAATGGCCTTTTCGGATACATTTGCACATAAAATGTTAACCTATTGTGTCTTCGAATCGCGCTTTGTACACATTTTCTCTATGCCTGCTATCGAAAACTGGAGCAAGAATTCGTTCGGTTTCGTTAATACGTTTATTAAATCGTTCTCTATCTCTGGCGTATTCCTCCCAAGGGCCTTTTCTTGCGTTCCTGTATGCGAAAGACCACTGCACCATCTGATGAATTTCGCAAAGGTCTTCGTTATCGGCGAAACGTACCTACAAGAAATTTCAGAGTGTTCAGAAAACTAGCGACCAACAAAAACAACGAGTGATAAAAGTTGTAACATCTTAATTTTTAATAATATATAATGTAACAAAAATTTAAATTACCAACATTTAACGGGTCCATATATTTACGTTTTAACTACAAAAAATTTGACGTTTAGACTTCCACTTCGAAAATCGTTCTCAAGACTACATATTTAGAATTTTGTTGAAAAGAACGTATAACCGCCAAAGTCATAACCCCTTAAACAACTTTGACGGTTATAGATTCTTTTCAACAAAATTCTAACTAATATTTTTTGAGAACGATTTCCGAAGTGAAAGTCTAAACGTCAAATTTTTTGTAATTAAAAATGTAATTATTATTATAAGCAATTTTATGGCTTCATACCATATAACCAGAATATTTAATTCAGTTTTTAGTTTCATATTTATTTCATCCTCAAAATACCATGTTAACAATGTCATTAATTACTTGATTTGATACTAATTTTGGCAACTTTATCTTTTACATTGTGTTCCATAAGATTGGGTCTATTTTAGATAAACAGAAAAAAATAATGATTTGTTATTTACATACCAAAAACTGATGCAATTAACTTTTGGTATGTATTTAAATATTCGATAAAAATTAATTATGGTAATTTTTGGCATTTAATTTAGATAAGATTACATAAATGTTTGTACTTAAATAGTAACTCTTTAATCTACGACAAAAACGATTAAATGCAAGTCAAAAATTATTAATTAATATTATTAACTTGTTTTTCATGTTGATCCTGAGTACTACTCATCCCGATATTCCGACTTTAATAGTTAACACACAATTTTATAATTCATTAGATTACGACTCGTGCATGTTACTTGGAATTGATATCCAGAAATATTTGAACTATCTTATCTATGCATATGTACAGATACAGAATCAAAAGCTTATCGTTAATCATTATACCATGCGGTCCATATGTATGGAATAAATTCATTTTTAGCGTCATTAAGTACTGTATGAAAAAAATCTGAAACAGGTCGATTTTTATTCTTAAATTCACAATTTACAGTATGAAAATATTATACCACTCCAGCACCCCCTTTGAATTATAAGCACCCCCTCGAAAGTTTTAAATAAAAAAGGGGGTCGTATGGCACCTTGTTAGAAAGGGATTTTAGTCCTGTGTTCAGCAATATAAAGTATTTTAAGTTTGCTGCAATCATAACTGAGAAAATTGATTTTTAAAATGTAAAATTTTGACAATGTCTCTCTATCACAAAACTTTAGGTTGAATAAAGGTAATAATGTCACATAATATTTAAAATGTACTTTACAATTAAGTTAAATGTTCAAAAAGACCACTATTCACTTCTTGACAATACCCGAGGCGATTTTGGAATTCTGGTACATTTTGTACGACTCCGGGAGTTATTTTGTTAATATCTTCCGTTATCCTAACTTTTGAGTCAGCAATACTGTTTGGTCTATTAAAATATACTTTAGATTTTTAATAACCCCATAAGAAGTAATCGAGAGGAGTCAAATCGGAGGATCTAGCCGGCTATTCGATCGTCCCACGTCTTCCAATCCATCTATTTGGAAAATCCTCGTTTAAATAATTTCTAATTATAAGTGCAAAATGCGATGAAGCTCCATCTTGTTGGTAAATAGGTCGATCTATCTTATTTTAATGATTAACATTAGGAAAAAATCATCGCTATGTAGGCACTAAAAAGTTAATAAGAAAATCTAGATAAACCTAACGATCAACTGTGCACTCAAAAAAATAAGGACCAATAATTTTATTGTTAATGATACCAGCTCAATTGTTAATTTTTTTAGGATATTGCGTGTGGGTCTCACACACCTAGTGAGGATTTTCTCTGCTCCAATATCTACAGTTCTGTTTGTTAACCGTTTCGTTTAAATGAAATGTCGCTTCATCAGAAAAAACTATTTTGTTTATGAACTGCAAATCTAGATTTTCCTCAATCTCTAGAAGCACATCTAACTTTTTTTCATCAATAAATTTAATATTTCTACCTGGTTTTTCAATATTTTTTACATGTCCAGTATAACGAAACTTCTTTGCAACGGTGCTAACTGTAGACTGCGAAACTTGTTGACCAAGGTATTAATTATTAACATTTCACAAACCTCCTTTTGACCTTTTGTTTTATTACCACAACCAATCATAATTAAAATGTCTATTCTTTTAGTCTCGGACAAATGAGCCATAATTAAATTTAATACGCGCACAAATATTATACTATGTCTTCTAGTAACCTTATATACCTAAATGACAGCAGCCTACTAGATTCATATCAATTGCTTATTTGGCTTTTTGACTAAAATTTTATTATCTTCAAAGTTTTTTCCCTAATATTTAGCAGAACAGATACGAAAATACCAGATTATTTCTAAAGTATATTTTAATAGACCAGGCAATATTGCTGATATAAAAGTTGGGATAACGGAAGAAATTAACAAAATAATCCCAGAGATCATACAAAATGTATGAGAATTATAAAATCGTCTCGATTATTGTCAAGAAGTGAATAATGGTGGTCAAGTTAAACATTTAATTTAATTGTAAAACCCAATTTTCTCAGTTATGATTGCAAAAACTCAATATACTTGATATTGCTGAACAGAGGACTAAATTCCCTTTCTAACAAGGTGTCACACGACCCTATTTATTATTTAAAATTTTCGAGGGGATGCTTATAATTCAAAGGGGGTGATGGAGGGGGATATTATTTTCATACTATAAATTGTCAATTTAAGAATAAAAATCGACCTGTTTCAGGTTTTTTTACATAGTACATAATAACGCTAAAAATGAATTTATTCCATACATATGGACCACATGGTATGTATGTTATTACAGTTACTAGTTGTCCCTAGCAGGACGTTAAACTGGTAGCTTACTAAAATCAGTTATTTTTTCACCGATTTTATATTGATAGTCAATGTATACTATTTAGTCGTAAATAAAAATAACTCGGATGTCGAAAAACGTAAAAAAACGAATAAAAAAAATATGAACAGAAAAGTGTATACTTTATGTAACCAGTAGAACCTTTCAAATATTTAATATAAATGATAACATCAATTATCAATTACCTAGTAAATTTTAAATATAAGTACCTAGGTTTTATATAAAAAATTTTATCTTTTAGTGATAGATAAGTATTTATGGAATATAAGACAGGTCAACAAAAGAAATATGTAAAGTTTTAGTAGATAGTGAAGTGACCTTACCAAATTAAATTTATGTTTTATGTACTTATATCTTTCCATATCATACATATATTTATATTGAATACGTGATAATTGAAAGTTTTGACTATAGATATGATTTTTGTATCACTAGCTAGGTTCAAAGACCATCATCACATGTTTGTATTTATATTTCGTATCTTTCCAATATTTACTTTTGTAGAATAAGTCAAAATTAGGTAACAAATATTTTAATTATAACTAAATGGACCATACTATTGGCGACGTGAAAGTACTTGGAGGGGATACGAGAAACTCATATTGTCTATATCAAATTCATATTGTCAATTGTCATATTTCATATTCGTTTTGTTTAGTTACATCTTCTGTCACTGAAGAAAATGGGATTTAGGAAATGCTGTGTTATAAATTGTAAAAATACAACAAAAATTGTCAATTTAAGTTTTATTCGTTTCCAACTTCGAAGCACAAAGCTACTACAAAGAGAAAAGTGGATTTATATCATAAAAAAGCATAAGAAGAATGCATCAAGTTCAAGTTTTTCTGAAGATGCATTAAGATATATTCGCTGTCCAAAAGTTTACAGGGAAAGAATTAATTGTCCAAAAGTCCAATTAGTGGTCCCATGCTTTCACCTAAGGCTGTCGAGTTTCACAAACGATTTAAGGATGACGAGGAAAATTTTACTGCAAGTGATGGTTGGCTCTACAGACTGGCTGAAATTGAGTAGTTTAATTTAAAATTGAGAGATCTCATTTTAGAGCATGGCCTCAAGTCAGACAAAACCTTGTGACGAAAAGGTTTCAATTTCAGAATGCTTCGAACCAAAACACTGACAGCATAAAGTGAAAAAACTGCGCCTATATACAAAAAAGTCAAAGAACGAGTAATTCTTTTGATGTGTAGCAACTCTTCTGGATCCTTTAAATTAAGACCTGTACTTATTGAAAAATCGAAAAATCCAATGGCTTTTCCCACCATGTACAGAAATCAACGTAGTGCTTGGTAGGATTGCCAAATTTAGTTAGTTTGCGTTGTTGAGGCCTACTTAAAAAACAACCTACCAAGAAAAGCTATTCTTCTTTTGGACATAGCGTTCTTCTTTTGGACATCGCGCCATCTCTCCAGATGCAAGTTCGTTGGCTAGCGGTGACATTAAAGCTGTTTTCTTGCCACTAAACGTCACATCTCTTATTCAACCTCTGGACCAAGAAGTTTTAGAGGCTATGAAACAGAACTATCGTCAAAGGCTTTTCCAAGTGTTGCTCACCTGGTTGGATGAGGGAATGACTCCCTTAAAAGATCACCGTTGAGGATGTGTCTTACTGGATAGCTTCAGCGTGGGATGATGTGAGAGAAATAATTTTGCAAATTGAAGCGAAAAGCGATGAAAAAGTTAACAATAACTGTATTGCTGAAATAGTAGACCTCGCTGATCAGTTACCGACGGAACTGCGGATAATTGATGAAGACGTTAACGAGTGGCTTATGCAAGACCAGCAAATGGAACTGACTGGTGATACAATCGCCGACATGGTTATTAACCCACACAATGTCACTGAGGATGACACAGATGAGATAATCGAGAAAATATCTCACTACAAAGGATTGAAGGCGATTGGAGCTGACCTCGCCTACATTGAGCCACAGGAAGAGTGAACCCCTACCGATGTCCTTCATCTTCAGCATTGGGACAACATCGCAGCGTCAAAATGAGCCCAGAAGTTAACACAGAAATCTATCAAAGACTTCTTTAAAA